CAGTGGTGCTATAATAAGCCTACTGAGAAACACTAGATCTAATAATAGGTAATAACATGGTAGAGTTTAGTAACAGGCCAATCAAGGATTGACCTAAAAACCATCCATCTTCTTTGAACTACCGGACCACTCGAATACATCATTGCGCGAGAATGTGGGGTGGAGGGGGGGGTTCAGGGGGGTCTCCCATTTTTCCTTCTGTGCAGCTCGTGTGCAATCTGTTTTATTAGAGTTTCTTGCCTTGTCTAGTTCCACTTTTGGTCGATCCGTTTCCGAGAACGTCAGTCGTCTGCTAGTGCAGCAGTCGAGTTCGAAGTGAAAGGCTTATTTTATCACAAACATTCTTAGAGGTTTTCTTCAGTTACTAAACTAGAGTAGAGTAGCTGGCCCAGCCCGCGACCTCTTGTCTCTATACCCTCTGTTATTAATAAGATAATTGTTTTCATCATGATTTGATAAAGAAATGATTTTACTAACCTTTAAGTGGTGTACTAACAACTTTCTTGCACCTGTCATATCTGTGCGCTCATGGTCGCGCCCTGTTCCGTATGCGGTCGCGCCAAGGGCAGAGCATTAACATGTTAAAATGCGAAATCTGCAAATGACGTTTTGGAATGATTGACGATATCACAGTATAGACCGGAAGTTGACACACTGAAGCGGCCCTGAACATAGATTGCCTGGCCTATTTTGCTGACGGCCTCCTCTATTCTCACCCCGGGTGAGAATAGCGCAGGCGAGTCTTTTGGCTATTCTCACCCGGTGTCCGTTCACTGTTATAGCCTAGATCTTGGCCAACCAATTTTGCGTTCGCCCTAAACCACAGAATTCTACACTGTGATAACAGAAAAATTGTAGAATTCTGTGTCGTGAACAAACGTTCCATTACTATTGTTAGCCTACTTACTAAAAGCGTACAATTTTGTCTGTGGGCAGGAGAGAGAGAGAGGAGTAGCGCGAGAACTTTCGAGCAAAACAAAATGGCGACACGCGTAGTTCGGCTTGATTCGAAAAGTTAAATAGTCGTAGCGTCTTTGTAGACGGAAGACCAAATTAATTTACTTTTGTGTTTTGACATCATTTTTTTACTTTGTTTTGGTCAATTTGATCGTCCACACCGATAGACAGTATTCAGAAAGAGAGAGAAGAGGGGAGGAGTAGATCTTGCGAGAACTTCCGGGCAAAACAAAATGGCGACCTCCGTAGTCGTAGTTCGGCTCAATTCGAAAAGTGAAATAGTAATAGCCATAGCATCTTTGTAGACGATCAAATTACCTTACTTTTGTGCTATAATAATGTAATCTTTTCTTTGCTTTTATCCATTTGATCATCCACATCGATAGAAAGTATTCTGAAATTAGGAAAAACGGGTCTTGTTTCACACCGGGTGAGAATAGCCTACGCCACGGTGGCAGGTCTCACCCGGGGTGAGAGGTCGATCGTATTTCTATTCTCAGGTGAGAATAGCCACTTCCTTTGCTGACAGAGACCGCTGAGAAGCAAAATACAAGTGGTCGGGGGTTGGGCCAGGTACTCTAGATCCAGTGCAAAAGGGACAATTGTACAGGAGTGCCAAGCAAACAGTGTTCTGTTAGATGTATTTGAAGCTGCAGTACAGCAAGCACCTAGCACACCTCTGTACTGTGATTGACCCAAGTGTAGATGCCGTATTTCGGCCATCAATTTTTATCGTTTTCTGTGGCTTACCCCGCCAGTTGACTAGATTCTAGATCTAGGTCTCCCAGGTGACCGGTCATCTAGTCACACCCCATTTAGTTCTATTTGTGATGAAATGACTTCCTTTAACTTTAGAGCTGTACCCCGGTAGAAAACCCACTCGTGCTCACACTCCCACTCTAGTTCAAGTCACAGGCCTTAAATCACTAGATTCTAGGTCAAATCATCAAATCAACCAGCATGTTGACGCTTGAGTCAAGCCTAAGCTTGTTTTGGTGCAAGATGTAGAGAACCAAAGCCTCTGTTTTTCTGCTGGGGCGCTGTTCCCTCTCAGCCCTGGTTGGCCCTGACATTGGGTTGAAGTAGGCCTAGCCCGTCTCCTAAATGATCTGCTTTGTCATTGGGAGTGTAAAACATCTATAAAATAGGATATATAAATGGCCTGTGCCCCTTATAATAATATAGGAGGGCCTGCGCGCTTCCCAGTCGAAGAAAGTGGGTCCTGTACCCGAGTAGCCCGGCTCACGCCCTATAAAATATGGCCTGCACACTTCCCACCAAGTTAAGTACTAAGGCAAAAGCAACTGAGAAAATCTTTCATTCTCAACAAAGCTCCCCTAGTTATGAACGGTGCCGTGTTGCTGGTCAGGTTGGCACAATCCACTCACGAGCCGCCGCCCCCCGTCCTTCCACATACCCCCCACGATGACAATGCGCGTTTGATGTTTGCAAGTGTGTGGCGAAATCATTGTGAGTTTGGGGTGTGACGAGATGACTGGTATTCATCTCACCGTGGCCGGCCCATAGGTTTCATTGCCGACTGCTTGGGCTGTGTGCGTGTGCACAACTTTGAAGGGATGATAAATTTATGGGACGAGAATTGCTGAAATTGTTAATAAAAGATGGTGGCACAAATTAATACAACAACAAAATAAAGACGGCGAGGTCTAGTCAACAGTTACTGGCAAGGGAAACCCAAGAGTCTTTGGACTTGGGGAAGCCCCGGAAGACGACAAATACGTCATCTATAATATGGCTATTCACAGAGGTGTGCTAGGTGCTCGCTGTAGTTAAATGTGTTGGCGTAGCCATATTTGCATGAAATATATTTGCCTGTGCTTGATTTGGGAGGACTTCCTCGTAACAAGGGACTACTATGATTTTTGTGAAAATGGTGAATCCAACTTGTTTAGTTGGATTCGAGTTTCACTGACTGTATATCATCGAGTTTCACTGACTGTATATCACTGTCCCCGTAGAATTATGCAAATTCAGATGGCCAAATTATGCACACACAAAAAGCAAAATTATTCAAGTTACCGTAACACCATTCGCGACATGTTTTGCACTTTTTCAACATGAATTTTCATGTTTTGTGCACAGAAAAATAGAAAACAGAACATATCAGTATCAGTAATTTGTTGTGTATTTGGAAAGAAAACAATACCCATCAGTCAGAAAAAAACAACCAAAAATTATAATTTCTGTAACAATCCTGCGGGGACAGATATCATTAATGGTTATCTTCCATGGGCTATGCGTCAAGCAGTGGCGAGTTGGTTGACATTATTCTTTTTCTGTTTTGGCAGTGAGATACAGCTTTCATTTTGAGAATTTGAGAGCTCAAGTCCTAAAATTGTATTTCTTAACAAATTTTGTTTGTTTTATTTCAGCCATGGCTCCCAAAAGAAATAACATAATTCCCAATGGCCATTTCCACAAGGATTGGCAGCGCATGGTCAAAACATGGTTCAATCAGCCCATGAGAAAGAAGCGCAGGAGGGTGGCTCGTGTTGCCAAGGCTGCTGCTGTTGCCCCCAGACCAGTCGCTGGTCTTCTCAGGCCCGTCGTTCGCTGCCCGACTTTCAAGTACAACACCAAGGTCAGGCTTGGACGCGGATTCACTCTGGATGAGTTGAAGGTAAATTGTGAACTTTTAAACTTTTAAACTTTTTTTTTGATGGAATGTTCATAAATTTTTTTGTGCGTATTGTTTGTTTAGTGTGTTCCAGGGTGACTTCCAGGCCTCAGGGAATTTTTTTTTTTCATTTCTGAGACCCTGGAATTTAATTAAATCTGTTAATTGCCCCGGGAAAGACCCAGGAAACCGGAAAATAAAGTTCTCGAACATTTGGAAAACAAATTTGATTAAGTCAGTACGTTCACTTTTCCTGGTTGCATTTGTTTCAGCTTTCCCCTGTCCGAGTGTACATTTCACGCTGATAAGCAGCTGTGACGTTAGGCTGAGGTGTACATGTAATGCCGAGGCTTGTTCGGGAAAATGATCTGTTTTCACTGTCGTTACCACCCAGAACTTGCCGGTGCTAGTCTGTTACTGCATTTTTGTGACATGCAGATATGGAGCATGTGCCATCATTGTTATGTAACAGCATATCTCTTTCTTTCCCCGCGCCGCGAAAAATTGAGATGTCAGGTTGGCAGTTACCCTGGGGTTCTTTTTTTTTTTTTCATGTCCTTTGTACTGGTCCATGCTTTTACAACTTACTCATACCTGTCATTCGGAGCCTTTTAGTTTAAAAAATCATGTGTCCGTAAAATGTGAAGGACTTTTGTCTCTTTGAAGTTAGGTGTTTAGGTCACAGCGAACACCACAGCACGTCCTGTTTTGTCTTCTGCTATAAATACAGGGCAAGGTTTCAAATCGGGGTTCACACTGACAGTAACATGCTGTTTGGTAGTTTTCGTTGACAATGATGGTACTGAAAAATTGAAAAATGTTGATCACTTTTTTGTCATCCAGACGAAATTGCTTTTATGCTCGGCGCTATCATTACAAAGCAAAAGTCAATGACAAACCTACCGGCACATACGTTCAAGTCGAGGAGAGAGATGAATACGTGCTTTCGCCCGCACTAGTACATAAAAAATAGCCCATAAATGAATTTGGGTTGTTTCTGTAAGATTAGAAATCTACTTATTTCTCACATTGCTGTTGCACTCGGAGAGGAAGAAAGGGGAAAGGTATTTTTTCACACTCATTCATGCACGATCATTCCTGTTCAATTTAAAAGTTTTAATTTTTCTTTTACTACACAGAGCTTTAGCTTTGTCTGTTCAGCGTTTGAATTGTGTTCACGGGCGGGACAACCTAAACTCGCCCTTCTCTTTGGTTGTCGATTGTACCATAAGGGCTGGCTTCGCATTGGCTTCTACTCTAAGCTCAATCAAGAATCTAGTTGTCTGTTTGATGGGTTTTTTCAGTGTCTTGACTTGATTGTAGAGGAATTGTACGACAACGAATCTCTGCAGGGTTTGGTTTTTGTTTTTTTTAGAATGCGTGCAAGAAGTAGCCTGTGGAAATGTTAATTAGTCACTCACATAATGCTACTTGAGTACTACTAAAGACGTTTGTTTTGTCTCCAGGAAGCTGCAGGATATTGCTGAATTAACTGTTTTATATTTGTTCTCAACCAGGCTGCCGGAATCAACAAGAAGACTGCCCGCACCATTGGTATCTCTGTCGACTTCCGCAGACGCAACCTGTCTATGGAGTCTCTGCAGCAGAACGTGCAGCGTCTGAAGGAGTACAAGAGCAAGTTGATTGTCTTCCCACGCAAGGAAGGCAAACCCAAGAAGGGAGATGCTACTG